AATTTTATCAATATATATATATATATATATATATATATCTGTATATATCGAAAATTTTCTTTCATACTTTTATTAATACTTTTTTCTCTTTTGTTTAGATATTATTCGTATTTGCTTAATTTACATTAAATTTAAATAATAAACGGAATTAAATAAATTCTTCGCTACAAGGTCCAATCTAATGTATTGTGCTACCAGAGCACCTGTATTATTAATTTTATTACAATTGTAAACTATAATAAAGTGAAGTCGATGCGCTAAATGAAAAATGTATGAAAAAACAAACGTAAGTATTTCTGTAAAATTATTTGTTTTTTACCTTGATAAAATATTACATATTGTATACGGTGAATTGTTAAAACTGCCCTTAAAAACATTTCCTGTTTGTTCCTTTATATTTATAAAATATATACATATAATAAAACTAATATATGATACGTCTATCTTTGAAATATATGCAAATTTATTTTTTAAGTAGTCATAAAATTTTTAAGTTATAATATTTTAAAAATAAAAAGTGAATAAAATTCTTTGTTTTATTTTTTGAAAAATTTATATTTTATAATTATACATACACACATGTAATTTATCGATAAATATTTTTCAAATGAATTTGAAAGTGGTATAAATAATATAATATCGAGTAATCGAAAAACGAACCGGAAATATTATCGATCATGATTCAACTAATGTTCACCAGATGACGCACAAGGTTTTCAGGCGTGTCGAAAAGCAGTCGCGCTTGCGTACTTACATATGTTCATCGTGTTCGTCGTTGTGGTGGTCACGGTTCGGAGATAGTAAGTGTGCAACAATAGAATAGGACTTATTGAGTAAAGCATTTATGGAAAGTGAGCGAAAGTGATAGAGTGCCATGATAAAGTTATACGAGTGGACAATTGAATCTTATAATTGAAAGTCCATAAAAAAAAAGGTGCGTTCACGATAAAGGTGTCGAAGAAGTGAATCGTGATTGGTGAATCTTAGACGGCCATTATTGTGCGCCATTCGGTCTCCGGTGCAGATCCGCGCAGCGAAAGGGCAGATGCCCTTACGCGGTTCGTGTTCCCATTGGTGGGTACGCGTTAATCTACCCGGATCGACGTACTTCGTGAGATCCGGTAGTATTTCTCGAAACGTATTCCTGAACGTACTAAATTCAAAAAATATAAAGACAAGCAATCAACCACCTCCTGTGGGAAGCGAGTCTTTTGATAGTCGACTCGATAGTTGTGTGATCTCTGTCTAACAGCAACAGTAGCAACCGCAGCGCCGTCAACAACACGACAACGATAACGACGACAGTAGCGCCATCAGCGCGACCGCCATCGCAGCGAAAAGAAACAGTATTCCTTTGAGGAAAGAAGAAATGCCTGTAGGTTCGCGATCAGTGGCGCGACCAAAGATGGAGGCCACGTCCAGTTTGTAACACGCAGCCAAGTCTCGTTCAAAGCGCACCAACGGAGCCACGAAGCGCTCCTCGAGTCGGCTGTCCAAAGTCGCTTTTGCCCCGTGCTACTTTTCTTCGTGAGCCCCGCGAGGCTGGAGAATGGAGCTACGCGTTGGAAATAAGTACCGGCTCGGACGGAAAATCGGGAGTGGCTCCTTTGGCGACATTTATCTAGGTAATTTTTTTATTTTCGACATTTACCTTTTACTTAGATTTCCCCCACCTTCTTATAATCCACCCGTCTACCCACACGACGGTTACATATTTGCCCTACGACATGCATGAACGCGCCAACTCCCCCGTGCACATATATATTTTCTTTTTGTAACTGCGTGACTGGACCTTTGGTCTTTTTGTCGTTTCTTAGGTACCAATATCTCAACCGGCGAGGAAGTCGCCATCAAACTAGAATGTATAAAAACGCGGCATCCGCAGTTACACATAGAATCCAAGTTCTACAGGATGATGCAAGGTGGTGGTAAGTAAATTTTCATCTATATTATTTATGCTCGAACTTTATTTTGCATATTCTCATGTATTTTGAAACTTATACCGTCACCTGAGAACTGTCAGAATTTTGTGTTTGTTGGACAGCTGGTTGGTCTGGCCACTGAACCTTCTCTCTTTCTTTCTCTCTTTCTCCCTCTCTCTTTCCTCCCCACCTCTCTCATCTCCTTGCTATTCCTTTCTTCCTTTTTCATTGTATTCTTTGTGACAATAAGGAACTTTACCGTTTTTTTAACGTTTACATATTTAAAATTTATAATATAAATTGAATAATTCCAATTAATTCCAATATCTAATGTATGAATTTTTTATGTTTTTCAATCTTATATTGTACATAAATGAAATATATGTTATATACATTAATTTATTTATTGTAGATTATCGTCGATAAATAATATTCCGTAGATTTTAGTCATTTTGGACATATCATCGACATGAAATTATTTGAACATTTTGAAATAATATAAATATATTTTTACTCGTTTCAAAAATTTTTATATAAAGATTTCTTTAGAGAGAGGATTTCTTCGTTGCAAATCTTATTTACTGTTGACACTAATTCTTACAAATATTAAATATTAATCCTTTCAATTGTTTTTGCCTAATTGTCATATTTTACAACAAATAAAAATGATTAAAAAGATTATTATTTTGTATATATTATGCGAAATATTTTAAAATAGACGAAATAAAAAATCAATCTTGTTTAATATTTGTATTATTGCATAAATTAACTCGTTAGTGAATTTTATGAAATTACTAATTATCAATTTTTAAAAAATTAAACGATTTAATATTATTTATAATTCTTTGCAACAATGATGACAAATGATTGTGTTGTATGTTGGCATAGAAAAAATATTTCATGTCTAAATTAGGCTTGTATATAGGCCTTTAAAAATAAAACGCGATGCAAACATATAGTCTTAAAATTCATATTGATATGATCAAAAAAAACTTTTTATTATAAATGAATAAGAACAATTAAATTATTTATTACCTTAAAATAAAATGATATAAATTATAGAATATAATAGTATTTAGATTAAATTTTTTATCATACGCTAAAAAATTAAGTTTATTTTCATATTGATGTCCTCAATAATTAATTATATTTTGTTTTTTTTTTTTTCTAATAATTAAATATAAAATCAATATCTATTATATTATATAATTTATCTTACAAGATAGCATGCAATATCTGAATTCTAATATTTTAAATATATTCATAAATATATTCATAATTTTAAATATAAAAAATGAATATTAAATGAAAATATGAATTAAATGTCTGAATATTACCATACAATTTTATCATTTTATTTTTTATGCAATAATATTACTTGTAAATTAAAAATTTTCTTTTTTATAGAAAATTAAAATAGTTTTCTATTTTCTATTATATAATATTATATACATATATATAAATTTTTTATTTATAAATTTTAATATAATTCAAATTTAATACATATATATATATATACATTATTATCAAAACATATTTATCGTAATATTTCAGTTGGAATACCAACTATAAAATGGTGTGGTTCAGAAGGTGACTACAATGTAATGGTAATGGAGCTACTAGGTCCATCATTGGAGGATCTATTTAATTACTGTTCAAGAACTTTTTCTTTGAAAACAGTCTTGCTTCTCGCCGATCAATTGGTAAATAATAATTTTTTGTTGAAATCAAAATATTTGCAAATTTTTTTTTTATATAGAAATATATATTTTTTATTGTTCTAATTTTTTTATTGTTTTGAGTCAATGAGTTGTACACTAGAATGTTTAAATGAAATTTATTTATAATAATATATAATACTATTATAATTTTTTATGAATAATACTTGCACTATTTATTAATAATAGAATATATATTTTTTATCTTAATCATTTTTACTTCTTTTACTTACTGTAAAAAAATGAAATTAGTTTACGCTTTAAAATAATTGGAAAACAAATGATTACATATGTAATTTTATCTTACTTTATTGAAACAAGAACATTGATTCTGTTTCTGTAATACTATTATAATTACAAACATATGTACAATAATGTTCAAAGTTCAAATTGTGATTATATGCAAGTATTTATTATTCTGTTTTTTGTTACTGAAATAAATTACAATATAAATTACATTCTTATCAACTAACAATTGTGTCGGCTGATAAGAAAGCTTTCTTATTCTAACAAAAACAGTAAGGCAGAACTAAAACTGATATATAAAGCTTTTTATTTCAACTAAAATCTTTTTAGAACAAAGAATGATTTTAAAAAATCAATCATTTAAATGTAGAATTCATTTCAGAAAAAAAAGAAGTATATTCTTGACATTTTTTTGTTATTGTTATATTGAATATTTGTTACTTATTAATTGTGAATCATTATTGAGAACTTTGTATTTCCTGATTATTTTATATTAATTATATTTATGTATGTATGTATGCAATAATAATACTAATCATAATTATAAAAATATATTAAATATGACATTAATTTTTTTCTTCTCTTCTTTTTATCATATATATATATACAATACTTTTTACAAAATATTATCGCATCTTTTCTTAAATACTTTTTCTTACATGTAATTTATAACTTGAAAAATGATAAAAATGATTTACAAAATATCTTTATATTTTGACTACAGATAAGTAGAACGGATTATATTCACAGTCGCAATTTTATCCATCGAGACATCAAACCAGATAATTTTTTGATGGGCTTGGGAAAAAAGGGAAATCTCGTATATATTATAGATTTTGGATTGGCCAAAAAATATCGCGATGGCCGTACTCACAAACACATACCGTATCGAGAAAACAAGAATTTAACAGGAACAGCCAGGTTTGTTTATTCAATATACAATTTCATTTGCATTAACATCTTATGTAATTTCTGCCTAGTATTTTTTTAAAAAAAAAAATCAATTTACGCATTAATAGATATGCGAGTATTAATACACATTTGGGAATTGAACAATCACGACGAGATGACCTTGAATCCTTGGGATATGTTCTTATGTATTTCAATAGAGGTAGCTTACCTTGGCAAGGTCTGAAAGCGGCAACTAAACGACAGAAATACGAACGTATTTCTGAAAAGAAAATGTCTACACCCATCGAAGAATTATGCAAGGGTTATCCTGGTAAATTTCTCTTTAACCGTGTACTGTTATATTGTTGTATCATTGTTATAAAAATGTACGATCAGTTCAATGTCATAACTCTATATAAATAAATATTTTCCATATATAAATAAATATTTTGTTATTATAGTTGAGTTCGTGCAATATCTAAGGTATTGTCGAGGACTACGATTCGAGGAAAGGCCGGACTATTCGTATCTTCGGCAACTTTTCCGGACGTTGTTCCACGAAGAAGGCTTCACATACGATTATGTCTTCGATTGGAACAGGCTGAAATTCGGTAACGTGAGGCAACAAACATTGTCTTCGACACAACAAACACCGATGCAGTCGCAACATACGAATGCAGCGCTGCCTTCTGGGACTAATAATGATCAAGAGCATCGATCTAGGTTGGTGTTTCGTGACAGAATGAATAATATATCCGCAAATCGCGAACCGTTTGCGTATGAAATTAGACGTGAAAATGTTAGCAATCGCATCTCTCTATGCTGTCTTTCCATGCATATAAATAGCATGGTCATTTCATTACCCAGTACGTTCTATTCTTAGCGGGTAGGTCAATGAATCGGGAAATAGTCCTGTTTAACCAAACATAAATAACCAAATAGGTCCATATTTTTTTCTCTAATCTATGCTGGTTATAAAAAGTACTTGCACATTGTTATACTCGTTAATATAATATAAAATTTACGTATTAATTAATTACATCAAAATACATCATATTTTGCATCGTTTAATCATGCTTTTTTTATATCAATATACAATAATTTAATATCATGTCAGAATTTGATTGAAAAAAAAAAAACATAATTTCATTGGAAAGTAAATATATATAAATAAGTAAATTTAATAATATATGTGTAAATACTTGTTCCTGTTCACTGTAACTTTGATTTTAAATTGGTGTAATGTTGCGTAACATTATTTATCATCACAATCGTATATTTTTCTTTTTTTTTTTTTTTTTACAGACCTTACACCCGGCAGTGTTTGGCAAACATATCAGTGGGAACAGTGGGTCCGACTGTAGGTGGAACAACTACAAATTTGAGAAGCATGCGGCAAAAACGCGAGGCGATAGACGCTCTTCGCGATCAGGACAATCAGGAGAGCGATCTTCAAGGTAAACCACAGTTCTACCCAAAATTATCTTCTAAGCCGGTTATAACCCAGCAAAAAATGCGGCTCGAACATCCGCAGCTAACTAGCAACGAAACGCCACGCGCGAATCCGTGTCAGTTCAGTACATTTAAATCATCACCGGTTAGAATAGCGCCGGATGCGTCCCTGGACATTGCGGGTCTTAATTTAGGACCCCGCGAAACGACTTCGAATCGTGCCGAATTGAACTGCACCACGTCCCGTGACTATTCAGTGAACAGATTGCCCGATGGTAGTCCGAATGCATCATTTCGTCAACCGGATAAACAGAGTTATTTTTTTCAGTCATATAAAACCGAGAAAGACTTCGAGATGATGATGTTTGATCGTCCTGTTCACGATGAGAAAAAAGTTGATCACGGGGATGATGCGGTGGCATCCGGTGGCTCGTTGAATTGTTTCAGTAGCGTAGAGAGGGAGAAAGGCGGTGATCACGATGACAAGAAGCAAAAAGGTTCCACGCTCGGTGGCCGCCATCACATCTCGACTCACGATGCTCGTCGAGATTCTGGAAACGTGGAATTCCTTGAAAAAGAAGGCGAAATTTTCAAGATAAGCAGTAGTGAATTATTGCAAGATGCGTCGGCGAAAAAGAAACGAAACTTTTCTTTCAGTAACAAAGAGAAGACGCACAGAAGTTTAGAGTCGTTGGAAAGAAGCATAGATTTGTCGGCTAAAGATTCAAAGAGTTTAGATCTGTTGTTCGAGGAACGATCGAAAGCATTTTTTCATGGGAAACAAAGAAGTCTGGATTCTTCCCAGAAGTCAAAAAAGTCAATGGATTCGTCCGCCAACAAAGCGCGAAAGCGGCCGAATTTCTTTCAACGTGTTCGAAGAAGCTGGCATTTTTTACTCATGCAGCGCAGAATCAAGCAACGAAATAAATATGAACGGCCGCTAAGCGGTCGAGAAAAATGCGAATATTTTTTGCGCCGACTCCATAAAAATGATTGCCCCGAACGTGATTTAACCTTGTCAGTCGATCATTCGCAGACAGAGTTGAATCCAGGTTTTTTGCCCAAACTTGATGATGTGAGGAAAGATGAATTAATTTCGAACGATAAAAAAGACGATAAGAAAGAAATTAAAGTTGTGATAGAGGATGCTATAATTGTAATGGAAGATGCTAAATTTCGTATAATAGACGAGGAAAATAAATTAGCTGACGGAGATATCGATAATAAGCCACCGGAAGAAAATGATGAAAAGCCCCCGTTGGTCACTGAAAATGATATTGCACGAAAATTGCAAGAAGTGATAGGAACTGAAAAGAAAGAACATATAGTTGATTGGGTAGTCACTATAGCAAATTTAGACGCTTTAAGCCATGCTACCCGTTCGAACGAATCTGTCAGTTATGGTATATTGCATGGTACCCTTGGTATATTGAAGGGTATTCTTTTTGATATTTTTCTCTGTGTATGCATCTAACATTGTTTTGTATGCAATTTATATTTATCGAAGTTTTACATCACATAAGCACGCGGTGAGCAACTTTTGTTATTCATATTGATATTGATATTTTTCGTATGTTGTTATGCCAATTTTTTACACTTTCATCACTGTGTCAGGGTCGATAAGGTACAATTTCCACGTTTCTAGTTTCACTCGGGACAGGTGAGAATTATGACGTGAATATCACAATGAACAAATATTACTGAAGCTACTATTGCACCAATAGCACTTCTATTGTTTAGGATTAAGATTAATTCTACCTTTTCTCATGACCTGAAAAACATCGACATTAGAAGCCACGTACTATTATACTCGTCGGGTTGTGTCGTAGAACCTGTTTCAAGGTATTTCTGTTTCTAAACTTCATAGAGCTTTCGCAACTATAGACTAGAAATATTTTTTTAAAATTATAGAATATCTTTCAGGGGCGCACAAAAATATAATTGTTAGATTTGTTATTTTGTATTGCTGAATTTTTCGATCTCTACAACTATTTTTAAGATAAACTATTTTTATTGTATCACTGCCATTTTTTGAATCTCTTTAAAAAGCTAAAATATTTTTTGATACCTTTATTTTTTCGTCCGCCAGCCACAAAATCCACCGTTAACGAATCTTTCTTCCGATTCGATGTATAAATCTCTAATTTTCAAAAATTATTAAGTGGCAGATAATAATATGCGGACCCGTCCAACATGTTTTGACTAATAAAAATGCCTTTAAAAAGAAACGCCTTTATATTAATGACTGATTAAACATAAGCGACGAATCATCTTCGTCAGATGTACAGAGAGCCAAAACAATAAACCATCGAATGGCATAACAACGTACACATGTAGTCGATCGATGTATTAATCATAATTCGCGGAAAAAGGTGTAACTCTCTTAATTAACGAGATACGCATTCACCAAGTTTATATATATTTTCATATAATCGTATTACATAATATTACCAAATACTCGCGCATCGTGGCGTATATATCTTTATTATAGCGAGAAAATAATGCGACTGAAACATTTCAACGATATCTATTCGGATGACATATTTACTTCGTCTCCTATCGATATATGTTTACGAGTCAAGAACACGTGATGCTTTTATTCCATCATGCGAACACTTTTGAAACGTAAATTACTTGAACAATTGTCCTTTGAAATAGAATTTGTGAGAAACGAAAAGTACGTTCGTCAAACCGTTGCATTTCTCATACTTGACGTAACGCGATTCGAGGGCGCTGCATGTCCGCACAATGAACAGAATTTTGCATCCATAAAAGGAATTCGAGCATACTTCTAGTAATTTTTATATCGTCGAAAGTTAGTTTTTGTAAAGTGTTATATTCCTTTTTTTCTTTTTAATCATTACATTACTTTTCTAACATTATTCGCTAGAAAAGTTCGAAACACAATTATAATGGTTTCTGATCGTATTAAGTGTCATGGAAATTTCAAAATTCGTTTCGATACTTCGATTAATATTTCAAATTATTATTATTTCGTTTACAAGCGCGATAAATCGTCGAAACGTTTTACTTCAGCAAATAAAAACGAGGGATAAAGAAAAATGTATGGAATGGTATATATAAATAATATATAATATTCGGATTGAAAATGAACGTATGCGAATTGTGAGCCTGAAGATATTACTTGCATCGAACTCGCATCGTAATTAATAGATAGCTTTACCAGATATTGTCATGTTTGTTTGTATTGGCAGTTTTCCGATTGTTTCATCACGATATCATTTACCAAACATTGTAATCGTCCACAGCGTTTCTTGTCCTTGACGCGTACATTTGCTGCTCTCTTTTTAGAAAGAAAAGGTGAAAAGAAAGATGGGAGTTTCTTTCTACACGCAACAAAGACAATGGTATAAGTTAATTTTTCTTACGAGTATAATAGAAAAATTATAAATATAATAATTTTTTCGTAGCTGCGAACGTATTTTACGTGTTGTTTTCGAGATTCCGGCGCGATGGAAGAAGCAAGAATTTTTTTATATGAGAGGATTAGTTAATCAGGGAATAGAATCTAGAAAAATTTCATTGTCATTCAATCACTTGTTGTGGAGTTGTTGCAAGAAAAATTGTTTTCTTTGTTGTCAGTGTATCGTACAGTAAATATTTATAATACAGTAAATATTTTATAACTATAAAAGAATCATTTCCATTATTTGAAAAGGATTAATCTCATTAATGTAATCTAATGCAAAATCAAACATCTTTGAAATAACGTAATACAATAATAAAATTTTTAGTTTCTACTTTAATAAAGCTTTTAATATATTTGAGGTTTTTCTTATTAAAATTAAAAACATGATATAATTTGAATTATATTTACATTTGTAATAATAACTTTATTCATTAAGTAAATAAATTCAAATTATATTGTGTTTGGTCTTGTTTTAATTAGAAAAACTTTAAAAATACGTTAATAAAAGTTTTATTAAAAAAAAAACACTTTTAAATTTTATTATTTGCATTAGTATTACTTTACTTATTTATTTATTCTTTTTTTCAAATACTTCAACTTTTAATTTTTTTTTTTTCTTTTACACTTTTCGCTAACCTTCTATATATTTGGCAAAAAATATAAAACGATTTCGAATCGAATCATATCGAATTATATTGGATAATTTTAGTTCTTTTGCTGTTATATTTAATATTTACTGTATTTCATTTAAGGTATAATTTCATTTATAAATCAATTGATTGTTACAGTACAGTTATACAGTACTCTTTTGTACACGATCTAAATTTCCACTAAATTAGATTATTTTTCAAAAACACAGTTATATTCATCGTCGTATTTAAACCTCTCATATATCCTTTGTTCACAGTGAATCGTTGCTTGTTCACTCGCAGTGACTGAACCAACGAAAGGAAGCCCCTTTGAGAACCGAGAAAGGTTACCAAAGCATAGATAGAGACAGTTACTAAAGTACAGTTTTTTTTTCTACTTCCTTCAGCCGCGCGAAATGCAATCTTGAAGGGGCTTCTCTCGTTTCGACAAATCCTCTAAAACTCTGATGTTCGATGACTTCTTCCTAGCACACTGGATCACGAGCATCGTCGTTATTTTTTTCTTTTCCTTAATTACGTATATATATATTTTTTCTCTCTTTCATTCACTTTCTCTCTCTCTCTCTC